ATTTATTTTTTCACATTTTTCCCCAGCACTGACCAAAGATGATATATCTCCTTAGATATTAATAATAACAGAATACAGTTTTATAGGTGTCATAAATTTGTGTCACAGTTACATATATTAGCGTGGCTGGAACATTACATTGACCAATCAGAAGCCAGAATCTGTTTTATAATGACATTTAACACAAGACCATCAAGATGTACCTTTATCATCAAGAAGAATATTCTCAGGCTTTATGTCACGATGTGTAATCCCAACACTGTGAAGATATTCCTGTAAGCAAGAGAGAAATCTAGTTTTACAACAAAGGTGGCTATGGAGTGAAAACCATTCACAAACACACCAGAGTCAAAGAAAAATCATCTCAAAACTGACACTTACCACACCAGCTATTAGCTGCTGAAAAAACCTGTGTGCCTCCTTTTCTGGCATCCCAACGTCTGGCTCTGTCAGAATTGGAAACAAATTACATTTTTAGAATTGAAACATTGAAGTAGAATCTTCAATATTTCCTCATCACAATTATTTAGACCCCACCAGATCTACATTATACTGGACAAAGAAGCTAATGAAATTAAGATGTCCTAATCTATGTTTAGCTCACCGATTCTGTCAAAGAGCTCTCCTCCACTACAGTACTCCAGGAAGATGTACTGTGTCGTCCCCTCACTCCTGTGCCCAAAGAAACGTACAATGTTTGGGTGTGAAAGCATCTTGCATATGCAAACCTCCTTTTTTACATTCTCTATACAATCCTTGGCTTTTGCCATGTCCACAACTTTCACCGCCACAGCCTCTTCTGTCTTCTTATTGACCAGCAGTCGCACCCTACAATAATTTAAAGTAGATTAATACATTTGAAGACTTTAACCAATCAGGATGAGACTAATAAAAAGGACACTGGTCACTTACTCTCCATACGCCCCCTCTCCAAGGGTCTGCACCACATCCCAGTCTTTTAGTGATGGGAAGTTCGGTTCTTTTCCGCGAACCGGTTCTTTCGGACAGTTCGATTCAATAAACCGGTTGAAAAAACCGGTTCACCGGTTCTTTTACGCTCGACGTAATGACGTCATTGGCGATGACGTAATGGCGTCAAGTCTATCGCGGGCTTAACACATTCAAATATAAAGTCAGTAATCATAACATCAGTCAATTAAAACATCATTATAATCTGATACGTTTCTTACAATTTGGATTTTTGTATCTAAAGCATCAACACATATACAGGCAGTGATCTGCAAACTAGGATGTTTTACAGTTATGACGTCAATAAATTAGTCTTCATCAGCGCAGAAACTATGCTCCACTTACTATGTATAATCCATTACGTAAACTTATGGGCTGTCACGTGATGAACGAACGACTCGGAAAAACCCGAAGACTCGAACCAGGTGAACTACTTGACAAATTCCAGTACAGAACCTATAGGATGTTGCGCATTCCCCACTGAACGATTCACTCCCCGAGACGACTCGTTCTTCCCGAGTCACATTAAAGATTCGTTCAAAACGAACGAATCGTTCAAGAACGACCCAACACTACCGCTCACTAGTGATGGGAAGTTCGGTTCTTTTCTGCGAACCGGTTCTTTCGGACAGTTCGATTCAATAAACCGGTTGAAAAAACCGGTTCACCGGTTCTTTTACGCTCGACGTAATGACGTCATTGGCGATGACGTAATGGCGTCAAGTCTATCGCGGGCTTAACACATTCAAATATAAAGTCAGTAATCATAACATCAGTCAATTAAAACATCATTATAATCTGATACGTTTCTTACAATTTGGATTTTTGTATCTAAAGCATCAACACATATACAGGCAGTGATCTGCAAACTAGGATGTTTTACAGTTATGACGTCAATAAATTAGTCTTCATCAGCGCAGAAACTATGCTCCACTTACTATGTATAATCCATTACGGTTTATTTGTAATTAAGTAAATTTACGTTTCGCCGGATTGGCCCATTATCCTCGTTTCACCCGCGCTCACGATGGCATCAGTTGTCCGGTTCAGAGTTCAGACACCTGTGGCGGGCGGTGCTGCTGTGCTGTGACAGTCATTACTGTTCGGTTCGGTAGTTCAGATCACACACGCTGTCGCTGAATCACGCATGCGCAGTATCATCAGCTCATCGGTTCTCAAATCGGACGTGTCCGAAAGAAACGGTTCTCGGTTCAGTGTACTGGTGATCCGAAAACCGATGCAACCGATTCTTGACTCGAGAACGAGAACCGTTCTAACCGGCACGCTGCACGCACTCAGTATCAGCTGCTCTACTCGTGTTCATGTTCTATTTACTACAAACTCAATTTGTGAATGTGTCATCGTTAACTATAATTACAGTACAGGTATTTCATAAATCATCCCTTATTCCTATATAACGTAGTCTTAATTATTGTCCAACTTCCCTGACAAACCCCTTTGGCCTATAACCTAACAGAATCTTCAACTGAACAAAGTACACAGATTAGATACATCTTTTTTTAAAAAGTAAAATAAAATATATTTATATTATCACACTTTCTGATGTTTAACAAAATACTTGGATAACATGTTTTTCGTCCTCTTGAAAAATTACACGCATGCGCAGTATCATCAGCTCATCGGTTCTCAAATCGGACGTGTCCGAAAGAAACGGTTTTCGGTTCAGTGTACTGGTGATCCGAAAACCGATGCAACCGGTTCTTGACTCGAGAACGAGAACCGCTCCAGCAGTGGGCGTGTACGTTCGTTATCCGGCTCGCTGCACACATGCTGCTCTGCTCGTGTTCATCTTCAGTTCTCTCTTCACAGCAGTTCAGTCAGTGTACTGTTTGAGTAAATTAATTACTCCTGGATATTGGTTTATTTCGACTCGGAGGGAGTGTCAGCCACGTTAAAAAAGTAAATAACTTAAGTAATTTGTGGATTAATGCTACCTGGAGACGCGAACCGTTTCAAACGATTCAGTCCGATTTGGTGAACTGGTTCAACCGGTTCACTAAGAAGAACCGGTTAAATTGAACGATTCGTTCGCGAACCGGTCATCACTACAGTCTTTAACAAAAGGCACAGCCATGATCTGATCTGTGGACACAAGTCAGAACATCTTGTTAGTAATAAGCAGTAATGTTACTTTTATTCCTCTTTTTAGGAATAAAAAGCCTAAAACACTTGCACGGAATATCTTAGTTTTGAGTAATTGTTAAATAAACAAAATGACACATGCTAAATAAGACTAGGTAACGTTACTTAATTAGGTTATATACAGTGAAACGTCAAATCCGATAAGCTTGGCCTGTACAATCCTTGGCTTTTGCCATGTCCACAACTTTCACCGCCACAGCCTCTTCTGTCTTCTTATTGACCAGCAGTCGCACCCTACAATAATTTAAAGTAGATTAATACATTTGAAGACTTTAACGAATCAGGATGAGACTAATAAAAAGGACACTGGTCACTTACTCTCCATACGCCCCCTCTCCAAGGGTCTGCACCACATCCCAGTCTTTAACAAAAGGCACAGCCATGATCTGATCTGTGGACACAAGTCAGAACATTTTGTTAGTAATAAGCAGTAATGTTACTTTTATTCCTCTTTTTAGGAATAAAAAGCCTAAAACACTTGCACGGAATATCTTAGTTTTGAGTAATTGTTAAATAAACAAAATGACACATGCTAAATAAGACTAGGTAACGTTACTTAATTAGGTTATATACAGTGAAACGTCAAATCCGATAAGCTTGGCCTGTCCAATGTTAATTTCGTGTTATTTTGTGAAATAAACATACCTTACGTGTCACCAATATCAGTGTCGAAGCTGTCCAACTTGATGCAGGTTGTTTATTTATTCTGTTAGTATATTTACACGCACCCGTTAGAAGTGTCTAGACAGAAATGTCCGTGATAATACAAGCGAGTCCGTCCAAACTTTGGCGCGTTCTGGAGACGTGACATCACCGGAAGCGCTTGGAGGAGAGAAATTTTAAAATAAAAGCAACTTTAAAAATGAGGGGAAATGTTTCATATTAACTGGAGAATTTCATGTTATACTTTTCGTGTTTGTTTTGCTTGAATTGTATTGTAAAACTGTTAAGTAACTAAGACCACCAAAACCATAAAAAATAAAATATCATAGCAGATTTATAAACTAAATATGAATGTGAGTTAGATATGTTATTTTATGTGTTCCTGCACTTTTTATTATAGTTTGTAAAGAATGTTGGTTAGGATTAGATGTGTAAATGTTTGATTGTTTGTGTTTGTATTATTTTCTTGTCGTACAAGCAATAAAAAGTCATATTAGATCTAAATTTGGGCTTTTATTTTTTTGTAGTTTCCAACGCTTGAAAACTATACAAAATAAAAGCTCGCCTGTCACGGTGATCATATTCATATTCACGGGAAATAAATCACAGTCATAAGATTAATGCACTTTTTGTGATACGACATTTAATTTTAAAGCATTTAAATATGGTAAAGCATAATTACTAGCTGTCTTAATCACCATCGTTATTATCACATAACAGGAGCTGAAAGCAGACTGATTTCGCCTGTCGTTGTTATGGCAACATCAGGTCAGTTCCGTAAACACGACTGTACAGTTGGAGGGTTATTTCTAAAGGTTATTTCTAAAGCTAGCTAGACTCTAAGAAAGTGGAATAAAATAAATAAATAATCTTTTACCATGTTGACAGCCCAGCGAAGCAGGACACGATGTCGAGAAGTAACTGGACCTGGACATTCAGTGGCATTGGTGAGTTAGTTATTAGTTATGCTGGCTTGACAAAGGTAGTCAAAGGCTTGACAAACTGATTTATTATTATTAGGGCCCGAGCACCGCAGTTTGTCAATATTATTATTATTAGTAGTAGTAGTAGTAGTAGTAGTAGTTTCTGAATTCAAAATTTCTGACCCAATTTTTCCTAAATCGGACGAAAAACTGCCCAAAATCCCATAGACTTAATTTACATGGAAAGCTTTCTTTCTTTCTTTCTTTCTTTCTTTCTTTCTTTCTTTCTCCAACGTAAAGTTCTTTCAAACTTTTCAATCTAACATTAGATCCCTATTAGTCTCTTTTATAATATTTGTAGTTACGTTAATGAAAAGAACTATAAATGCAAATTCATGTACTGTTTTAATGTAAATATTTAATCATGTACATATATATTATTCAATTTTTTTTAGTTTTTGTTAATATTCATCTCAAATATGTGCATTTCAGAGAGCAAAGCCTCCTTTATCCAAAGACGTAGATGACTTCTTTCTGCGGAGGAGGAAACAGGAGGCCATACAGAATGAAGTGCTGGAGTTTACCAAGAATCAGAGCTCCTGTGATGTGAGAATGCAATGGGAAAGGAACACACAGCGCCGGATGGTGTCGGCCACTATTAGTAGACATCTGCAGGAAGCAAGAGAGCAGTACCAGATGAACATTGATGAAAGGAGGGAAAGGTTTGAATGGAATAACCTCATAAATTATTAAGAAATCGTCTCATTGTATAGTGTAATGACCTTGTCTGGCTCTTTTTTTGACAGGCTTCGTGAGCTGCTAGAGTCAGAGGAGAAGGTGCTCTTCAGGGAGATGGAGGCAAAAAAGGAGACAGCGTTGGAGAGGCAAGCTAAGATGCTTGAAAGAGCCAAGACTCTGCGAGATAGAAGAGAGAGTGAGAGACAGAGACTTGTCGCTGAGAAACTCGATCAGCTCTTCAGGTAGAAGACCTTATTATTAGTGGTTGGATGTACTTGAACTTTGATTCAAACTACAAGATGTTCCATCTACCTGTGTTTTAGAGAGCAAAGTGAGGAGCTGCGTGCCGTGCAGGTGAGGCGCAGACAGGATGAGGTCTGCACTGAGCGTGCTGCTCAGATCTGTACTAAGGAAGAAGTGCAATGGATGCAACAAGAGGAAGACAGACTGTTCGCCCAGATGTGGGAGAGCGACAGGCTGGCTAAAGAGGAGCGTCATAACCAAGAGGTTCAATGGCAAAGAGAGAACAACCTCCAGCAGAAGGAATTCCTGCAGGCACAGATGGAAACGACTGAGCAGCAGACAATACGGGCCAAGCAACTGAAGCAAGAGGAGGCCCAGTTACTGGTATTGATCATATTATTCAATAGGATGAATCAATCAAATCAAGCCACAGTTATTATTGGGGATGCATGATATGTCTGTACCATATCGGTTATTGGCCAATTTTGGAATTTTTTTTTTTAACATTTAATTGTAACATTTCAGGCATGCTCATTTCCCTTATCATTAAATTTAAATTTCCTTAATGGTCACTTCAATTTTATTAAATGAATGTATTCTTCTGTAATTGTTGAGTTTTTTTTATTTTTTTTTGTAATGTGTTATTAATTATAGTTCTGATATTTATATTTTATTTAATTTTTCTAATATTATAAATGCAATCAATACAATTTTTTTAAATAAAAGATTATATTTAAATACTACATAAAAAGTATACTACTGGTACTGTTAAATATAATCTTATAATGTAAGCAAATCTCGATATTAATCTTTAAATAGTTGTAATGTGGTATTAATTAAAAAATAAAAAATTATATTAATATTTAATAATATGTTTATATACAGTATATATTATTTAATATACACTTATATTATTAAATATAAACAAATGTTAAAGTTATATAAATACATAAATGTAAATATTATACAATTATCTTGTTAAAAATAATATTTAAAAACTTCATGAATAAAAAAAAGTATACCACTGTTAAATATAATCTTTAGCAAATCTCAACAAATCTTTACAAACCATACATTTTAATGTTGTGATACCTAAATTGACTTGCTGCATTAACAAATGTTTAAAAATACAGTAAAACTTTGAAGGTGCGACACTCACTTGTGTGAACGCTGTGCTCCTTAGAGAGAGCACAGGGAGATGCTTCGTGTGGAGGCAGAGAGAGAACACCGACAGAAGCTCCAAGACCAGGAGAAACGACGTAAACAGCTGGACCTTTCGCTTCGGCTGAAGATGAAGCGCCTGGCACGAGATCGGCAGGAAGAGCTGGCTCTGGATATGAGCATCCTGGAGCAGCTAATGACTGAAGAGAGAGATGAAAAGCAAGATGAGGTCCTCAAAAAGGTTAGATTTCAGCCAACACTGTGGCCATTTTTGACCATCACTTAAAGAAATGTAAATTTCTCATTTTTTATAAAATGTTCTTCCTAAACAGCTGGAGTGTCAAGAGGAGCAGCGCAGGTACAGGGAGTATCTGGCAGAGCAGCTGGAAGAGCAGAAACGGCAAGAAGCTGAGACGGAGCAGCTATTTGAATCAGAGCTGCAGCAGGCCTGGGCTCGCAGGGAGGCACAGTGGCATCAGGAAAAGGCAGCAAGAGACCGACTTATGAAGGATGTCATAGACACTCGCCGACTGCAGATTCAGGAAAAGTGTAAGAAAAATGCTTTAAAAACAGCCATAATATCAATATATGTGTATATATTTATATATATATATATATGTATATATATATATATGTGTGTGTGTGTGTGTGTGTATAA